TGTACTAGTAGGTATACGTTAGAAGGATATCAACAGAATGGAAACAAGGCCCCGGTTGGGCAACTTGGAATCATTAGGAGAGAAGAGGACAGAGGAAGGCCCAGTCTGGCAAGGAGAGCTTTAGAAGGCTAGACGGTGCAGGAAGGTGAGGAATCTATGTCACAGAGTAGACCCAGGGGAGCCTTTGGGCTGGGGGTAGCAGAGTGGCCAAGATGGGTCACTATACCCAAAGGCCCCACAGTGGGATGGAGCACACCCTCTAAAGGACTGACAAAGACAGGGATGACCCAACAACCACAGATCAGGGAGCGGGAAGAGAGGAGAAAAGCCGGGGTGGTTACTGATAGTTCCTTAAGCATCATGTCCACCTGTTCTCTGCATAGACTGCTAGATTTACAATAACCTTTCCTGAGGGAAGAGCAGTCTCTGCCCTTTAACACCTGTCATGGTCAAAAGTAAATGCTTCCTGAGAACTAACTCTACAGTTGGGTGGTTCCAATTTTTACAAGAGGTTTAAAGCTCCAATATTTACAAGGGCCAGGCTGGTAATGTAATAACAACTGCAATCATTCTCACTGGACTCTCATCAAGGACCAGGCACTATTTTACCTGCTTGGCCCACTAACCCTCTCACAAACCTTCAGAAGGAGGCCATCTTTGGGGGTTTGGGGACATAACAGTGGCACCTGGTGCCAGGCTTCAACACTGGGCCAGGCTGTGGTGAACAGGTGCACACACAGCCTGTAAGGAGGTTGACTGCTGCCAGCAGGAAAGGAGGCCCAGGAGGCGGTCAGAGGTATTGATTCTTTGAGAAGTCAGAAATCTACAATTTTAAGAATACAAAATCTCCCAATTTTTCAATGTGGCTGACAAACTCAATTTTTATGGGTAATGCTGGATGCCACTGCAGTCAAACAAAGCCCACCAGGGGGGCTGGATTTGGCCTGCAGGTTCTGTAGGCTCTGTTTTTTAAATGTTTGCTATGATACTGAACTAAAACTGTTTCCTGGTTTCCTCTGTTCACTGGTCCCAGTTTTACAGCCTCTGCTCCACTTTAAAAACCCCCTAGGCTCCTGAGACAACTCCTTGGTTTTAATGACTCCCTGAGACCTAAGATGTAATGGTCATAATTTCTCTGGACTTGCTCCAGGTTGGTTGAGGTCTCTCTTACAGTGTGGCCCCAGAGTGGCCACATCACCTTTACAATGTGACCTGAAGCCGGGGGAGTATAGAATGATGCCTTTGTTCCTGTGCTCCTGTGACCTAGACCTCATGGTCCTCATGCTGTGGTCTAGACAATGCAGTGCATTCGGCTGCTACATCACCCTCTTGTCTCATTTCAAATCTGTTCTCAACCAAAATCCTCAGACATTTGCCTTCAGTAACTGCTTCATACTACACCCCCCTCATCCTGCACTCACAGCTGATTACCAAAACCAAATCATGGCATTAGAGTCTACCCTCCTAAATCTCACTTCGTTGGTTTGGGCCTGGCAGTCTCATCTGTTGAGATAGTCCTAATTTCTGATTTTGCCGGCATAAAATTAGTTAACCCTCTCAGCTCTCTTGCACATAGTATTTTGATAAATATGTATTGTAGATCTTTGTGAAAGTTTCTGATAAAAAATTTGGATGGAAGAGGGGTTGAGCAGGGCTATGGTATACACACTGGACCAGAGACACAAGGGCCCAGAATATTGGTAATCCATGAATTAAGACATTTTAGGTTTGGCCACAGTGAGGTTACCCTGTTCCTATGGGCCCACATTTCTCTCTTATCTGCCAGATGATTATGACACTTAATCTTGCGTTTTACTGAAATTAAGATTTATATTTATAAGATTTCTCTAATCTCTGAGAATAGTAATCCTATCGAACACAATGAGTGTGTTTGGGATATTTTATTTGTGAACTAATTCTTTTCTGAAGGACCATAAGCTATTTAATAATCTAGTCTAACAATTTTACAAGGAATCCATGCAACATCCCAAAATTCATCCTTTAATTCTTTGAAACGAGATAAATATTTTTCTGTTTTCAGTTCTGGATACATCCTTTTTATATATGATTTCTAAAAAAAAGTTCTTGTGGTTCTGAGATGACTATTTTAAATTTGTTCTAAAATCAGACATACGTGGCCTTGAAGGCTGGATTTTACTTGCAAGGGCCAATTCTTTTTTTGTTCTTAATGTGTCCTCAGTGATTTGAGTTTTAATCCATAGACTAAGATACTTTCTGTCCCTTCTCATATGAAGAAGATGGAGGACAACTGGGATATGGATTAAGAAAGACGACTGCCCAGCTGGTGTAGCTCAGTAGCTGAACATCGACCCAGGCACCGAGAGGTCGCCGGTTCGATTCCCGGTCAGGGCATGTGCCCAGGTTGTGGGCCTGATCCCTAATGAAGGGCATGCAGGAGGCGGCCAATCGACGTTCTCTCTCATTGATGTTTCTACCTCTCTCTCCCTCTCCCTTCCCCTCTCTCTAAAAAAATAAAGAAAAAAAAGGGGGGGGATGACAACCTTCTGTCAGCACAAGGTGGAGCTCCTCTTTTAATCCTGATGCACATACAGTGATACCTCGGTTCTCGAACGCCTCGGTTTTCGACCAAATGGAGATTCGAGAAACTTTTGTCTCGGAATCCGAACAAATATTTGGAACTCGAACTTCCGAGATGAGCCGAGTTGAGCCGAATGGCGTTCATTCGGCCCAGCGCGCCTTGCTTGCGTCATCAGTGTGAGTGCAGAGAGAGAGTCACGCTTTCCTATTGGTTTCATTTCTTCGGTTCTCGAACAATTCGGTTCTCGACCGTCCTCCTGGAACGAATTATGTTCGAGAACCGAGGTATCACTGTACTTTAAATATAAACTCATCAGAGTCCACTATGTGCAACTACACTGGCTGTTCTTACATGTCTCCCCTTTTTCTTTCTGAGAGAAATAGTTTTAATACTATAATAATAATAAAAAAAAATCTCTCATTTCTTACTCTCTTTACAACCTCATCCCATGCACGGGAATATGCCATTTTCACCTCTGAACTCAACTTTTTTAAATGTGCTTCCCAATGGCAGGGTACAGATCTACTTGCATTTTTCTCCCATTCTTATACAAACTCTAATGTAAACTCATTACTTTCTGCAACATTCAAAGTCGCAAATCCAATCTTTTAAATTGCTAAAGAATAGATCCAAAATATTGGTTCCCCTCATTTGCTTCCTCTGTATTCTGAGAGATGAGATTGTTTGCCAGCCAAGAATTTATCAAATGCTGATGTCTTTAGTAGAATATATGTTGGAGCTAATACTGAGTAGTGTAAATCCCTATTACAAGAATACTTTGCCTTTGGCCTATTTAGAAATAAGGATTCGAAAAGCACTGTGCATGGCCCACTGTGTGGAGTATCACTCCATTCCAGCTGCTACTCTTTAACCTAGCCCTCTCCCATGCATTTTCCATTCTTAGGCACTGCAATCCCTTCTTCCTTGTTGGTGCTGCTGTTATCTAAAGTGTGTTTGCCTCTTTTCTTGAATTAATTCAGTTCTAGGTCCTATTATACTCAATTCTCAAGGTAAAGACTCGAGGCTGCTAGAAGCAGCCATGCGTATGACCTCCCAGAAGCTTGTGTCTTGCTTGAGCACAAGCAACAATGAAGATAAAGCTATTCCCTCCTCCTTGCTTTTCTGAGAAACTATTCTCTCCTTTTCCTCTCCCTTCTCTCTCTCCACCTTCTCTTCCCAAGCCTACTCTTCCACAAGTTCTATCCTTGATCCTCTTCTCATCACCCTCTGCATCCCAGCAAATCTAGCAGGTCCCACACTCAATTAAGTCTACTTGCTTCATGTAGGTATTCAATGTATCTCCCTGCCCCTGCCTAAAACTAAGCCCTCATTTACTCTTTAAACTCCTCTGTGTGTGTGTTATCTTCCACACTCTGCTGTATGAAGCATCTATGGTTTTAGAATGTGATGTACTCTTTCAGAGCTTAGTCCATGAGCAAAGACTGTCCCCTCATTTGGAATATTTTATTCATATTTCTATTCCTAGTGGCTAGGACAATGCATGGCACATGGCAGGGACATAGTAAACGTTGGCAAATGCATAACTGGTTCTGCATGGCAAAATACACCACATGGTACACTTGCCTCATTTTCATACACTTTTCTTAAGTGTATGGAGACAAATGGAAGAAATTAAAAATCTTCTCAGAAAAAAGAACAAAGATCCCAGTGGAGAGGAAAGAAACAGGAGAGAAGGGACATTTTTGAAAGTGTGTAAATTGAGAACAAAACTTCGCAATATTAAGTCATGTGTCTAAGAGAGAAGCTCTGGTATTATCAAATATATATACTAATTGCAAATGAAACTAAATTTCACATGTGAAAGAATGAGGTAAAAAATTACTTTTAGACAGCCCAGTTCTCTCAGTCAAATGCTGATAGTTCCAGAGAGAAGAGATGGCAAGTGCCATTGAGACTATTGTTCCGTTGAAGTGGACATTATTTTAAAAAGCCACCATCTGTCTGATTCAGGGTGATCCCCTCCTAATGGGCACAATGCACACTGTGTGCAACCTTTTCCCTGAAATAAGTTATCTGAAGAGGAGAATGAAAGCCCTGGTTCAAATGCTTTTGGGAACTTTTATCAGCTGACCGTGGTTTGATTTTGGAATCTTTAGTTGGCTTGGGAACTGTGAACATGACATGTGGCAAGCTTCCCATTTACAACACTCTAGGCACAGGAATAGGCTCTGATTGCCCACAAGGGATAGAAAAAGCAGATGGCAGGTGAGTCGGCCCTCATCACTCAGAAGAGTCATGGCCACAGGATGAAGGCTCAACTTGACAGATTTGATTTAGCCCGCCAAGGAAGTTACCAGAAAACCCAGAGGGAACAAAGGGGTTAGGCTGAAATGTTACTGAGGGTACTTTCCAAACACATCCCTCTTGCATTAACATTTTTTTGATGATGTAAGTCAATGGTATTTTTCAGTCTCCTACCACAGTTCCAGCTTTCTGATCATTTAGCCAAGGGTACCCCAAACAAGAACTTCTTTGATATAGGTTCGAAGCTGGATTCACGGTTCAAAATGATCCTAAAATTTAACAAAACAAATAAAGGGCAAATTCATTCTGACAATGCTCCTAGTTCTCAGCTTAATAAGACATGTTACATTTTCTTGAATATTAGTAAATAAAATTGATATGGAACTGCCTATATTTCTATTTCTAGTTAAATATAAGACTGAATGTCAATTGACACTATTCTAAAGCAGTTAAGTATCAATCATTAGCTGGAGAGGGAGAGCAGACAATAACTACTGCAAACTAACACCACTGACTATTATCAGGTTCAATGTTTGGCTATCTATGGTCAATACAAAAAAGCAAGTGCTCTTTCTCTAAAAGGACTTATAGAATGTCTGAACTAAACAGCATGCTCTGTGTTCATAAAATAGTCATTTGGATACTTAGAAAGTGAATAACATTTTGATTAAATGTGCAGTTTGACAATGTTCTACTTAACAATTGTAATCTAAATATTAGAAACAAAATGAGGATACATTGTCCATATAAACTGGCCTGTGTTGACAAAGAAATTTTCCTTTCCTTGCCAATATTCACTACTATATCTAATATCAGGGAAACTGTAATAGTGATTTTTTTCTAAGATTTTTGCTCTCTTAAATGAACTGTGTCTTCTAGGGCCATGTACACAAGCCGTTTCATTCCTTAATGGGTCTTAGTTCATATGCCAACAAAGTTTTGCCAAGAGATACTGCCTGGCTTTAGAAAGGAGAATTGAATCTAATAAACTCCCAGGTACAGAGTTCTCCTATGAGGAGAAGGGGGTTGGTTGTTCAGAATGGGCTCCAGGCAGGGCTTCCTGGGTCTGTGACCTGAGTGGCTACACAGGGCCTTGTGCTTACAACAAGCCCTGCTTGGTTTAATGTTTTGCTGCTGCCACCCTGAAATTCTTAATAATTTCTCCTTTGATTTTTTTGTTCTGCACTTGAAGTCTGATGAGACAGTGGAGCATGCACATGGCACAGGATACACACAGTAGTCTGCTGGTTCCTTGCCACCTGCCCCATTCACAATAGTCTTAGCAGTGCCCCATGAACACTGAATACCAGTTATGCCTGAGAGTTTGGAGTGACCCAAAGAAAGCACATAGGAAGTATGTTACTTAGTCTATGACTGAGTAAGCAGGGGACCTGACTACCCTGAGCGGCCATACTCTCCATATGAACCAGATCTTGCTTTGAATGCAGAAAGAAAACAATGGTGTCCTACTACACAAGAATAACCAAGGAACCCTATATATCCTTAGTTGTGTTACTTCCATGTACAGAAGTTTGATTTATAATGGAGTTATATCTAGATAAACCCATCATAAATTGAAAATATTGTAAGTTGCAAATGCATTTAATACACCTGCCCTACCAGACATCATAGATGGGCATATCACTGAACACAATGAATACAATGAAGGGCACAGGTTGCTTACCCTCACGATCATGTGGCCGATAAAAGCTGCGTCTAGCTGCTGCTGCCCAGCATCATTAGATATCCTACCACATAGCGCTAGGCTGGGAAAGATCAAAATTCAAAATTCCAAGTATGGTTTCTGTTGAATGCATCACTTTCCCACCATTGTAATATTGAAAAAAAACCATAAGTTGAACCATCATAAGTTAGGGTTTATCAGTGTTAGCCAACAATCTACCCTGAAAATGATAACAGAAGGAAAGGGAAATACAGGCTGAGCCACAGTTCCTCTTCCTGCTAGTAGATTCCTTTCTCATCAGTAAACTGAAAGTAAAGATTTGGCACAATATGTGCATATGAAGAGTGAAATAAAAATAGATGAAGTAGTTTTGTGCAGTGTTTCCATGGTCCTGGCAAGAACAAAATATATCATGTATGAGTTATGAAATACAAACTAATTTTGGTGAGTCCATATGAGTTAAATGTTTTTATATTTACATATTAAACTGGCACCGCACACTACAAAGAATAATAGAATTAATGCTAATAATTAAAAATTTTAATATATATATATTTTTTTACTTAAAATTACATTGAACAATAAATGACTTCTGGTCAAGATGGCGGTGTAGGTAAACATGGTACTTTCTTCCTCCCACAACCACATCAAAATTTTATCTAAACTACAGAACAACATCTTTCAGAACAGCCTGAAATAGAGCTGAATGGAAGTCTTACAACTACAAAATTAAAGAAGACACTTCAGACTGGTAGGAGAGGCAGAAGCGTAGAAGTGCTGGTCCCACACCTATGTGTGGCAAATAAAAATCAGGAGGAATACCTCGGCTATGAGGTACCGCCTGAAGAGTGAGGGGTCTCAGTCCTACACCAGGCCTCCTAGCTCAGGGTTCCAATTCCAGGAAGAGAAGTCCCCATATCTTCTGGCTGTAAAAGACAACTGAAATTGAGGCAGAGGAAAGCTGAGGTGGCTGGGGTCCCAGGCAGCTCCTCTTAAAAGGCCCACGCACTTACTCAGACTCACTCCTTCGGGACTCCAGGGCAGGGGATGCAGCTTGAAAGGCACCAGAAACAAAAGGGAAATAACTGAGTTGTTTGGCATCAGGATGAGATCTAGAGAGGCAGCTTTTTCCTGGACAGAAGTGCTGGTGGAGGTCACTGTTCCTTTGGTGAGCCCTTCCCCCACTGGGCCAGTAGACAGGCACCATATCTGGGACTCCAGTACCTGGCTCACACTGTTTGCCCTGCCCTGGTGATTCCCTGAGGCCCTGCCCCACCCAACTTTCCGGCCAACCCAAGGTGTTTCCAGTGGCTTTACCATAGGAATAGCCTGTCTGGGCTCATGCTTCAGATTTTCCTAAAATCTCTTACACAAGCAGCACCTGGCCTCAGGGAGCCCCCAGGTCTGGCAATAGCAACAGCCGGCCATGGTTCACAGCCTGGCCTTGCCTGGGTACCTCCAAGTCCAGCATTAGAAGCTGCTCTCTGCAGACAGCTTTGTAGCTCATGCCTGGTGGCCCTGAGGCAGAACACAGGTGTTGGCTGACCTTGACTTGCACCTTCCCAGGAGGACCCAGAGCCAATACACCCAGTGGACCATGTTGAAGAACCACCACCCAACCACCTCCACGAGCAACACACTCAGTGGATACCAGACCCCTGGTGAAGTTAAGTCTTGCTTCATTCATATCATGGGGGTGCCAGAAGAAGAGAGAGAACAAGTAATTGAAAACCTATATGAAAAAATAATGACAAAAAACTTCCCTAACTTGGTGAAGGAAAAAGACAACAAACAAGTCCAGGAAGCGGAAAGAGTCCCAAACAAGATGAACCCAAAGAGGCCCACACCAAGACACATCACAATTAAAATACAAAAGGTTAAAGACAAAGAGAGAATCTTAAAAGCAGCAAGAGAAAAGCAGTCAGTTACCTAAAAGGGACCTTCCATAAGACCGTCAGCTGATTTCTCAAAAGAAATTTTGCTGGCCAGAAGGGAGTGGCAAGAAATATTCAAAGTGATGAAAAACAAGGACCTACAAGCAAGGTTACTCTATCCTGAAAAGCTATCATTTAGAATCAATGAACATATCAAGAGTTTTTCAGACAAGAAAAAGCTAAAGGAGTTCATCACCACCAAATCAGTATTATATGAAATGTTGAAGGGTCTTCTTGAAGAAGATAAAAAAATATAAACAATAAAATGGCAATAAATACTTGTCAACAATTGAATCTACAAAAAAAAATGAACAGGCAGAACAGAAACAGAGTCATAAATACACAGAACTTTTTGTTGGTTGCCAGATGGGAGGAGGGTTGGAGAGATGGGCGAAAACGGTGAAGGGATTAAGTACAAATTGGTTATTGAACTAATGAACCTCAGAAGGAAGGGGGGTGGTGGGGTGGGAAGAGATAAACCAAAGAACTTATGTGTATATATGCAAAACCAATTGACAAAGACAATAGTGGGAGGAAGGCAGGGGGTGGGCAGAAATGAGGAGGAGAGAGTCAATGGGGGAAAAAAGTGGGGACATCTGTAATTCTTTCAATAATAAAGATAAGTTAAAAAAAGAAGCCCTGGCTTGTTTGGCTCAGCTGTTAGAGCATCGGCCCTCAGACGAAAAAGTTGCAGGTTCGATTCCAGTCAAAAGCATGTACCTTGGTTGCGGTTTGGTCCCTGGCCCTGGTTGAGGTCGTGCGGAAGGCAATCAATTGATGTGTCTTTCTCACATCAATGTTTCTCTCTCTCTGTCCATAGATAAATAGAAAAATATCCTCAAGTGGGGATTTACAAAAAGAAAAGGTAAAGCAATAAATAAGAAATACCAGGATAAGAGAAAAGAAAAGCCACAGAAGAATGAAAAAAGCTTTATATTAAAGCATCTTTAGAGTTACTTTTCCCTGCTTATTGAACAAGGGGCCTCAGAGTTTCATTCTGCATTGGGACCCACAGGTTACTTAGCCGGACCTGGTTTTAGGTGTGTTCAGACTATTACTGATCTTCTCAGCCCTTAGGGGGCTTGCAGGGGCTTGGGGTGGTGGCCCCTACACTTCCTCTGCACCTGTAGCCCTGATTCAGGCAGCCTTGATTTTGTACTAAGATTAGAACTTGCAAGGCAGGCCATGAGGTTGAAGGGCTATGGAAGTCTAGCTTCCTCAGGTACCACCCAGAAAATCATCTCTGCTGGAAGTTTGCTCTTACATGTGTCACAGGCCCCCTGATGGACTTGACGTGCAGAAAATCCTAAGAAAAACAAGTTTCTCACTCAAGAACACTGAGTTCTTGTACTTGCTAATGGTTCTGTGATTAGAATGCTGCCCTGCTCCCTGAGGACAGCTTCTCATCCCTCCAATCTCAGCCTATATGCTCTCTTTGATGAGGGCTTTCTTCCATGGTTTCACCTCCCATACCATTTACTTGTTTTATAGATCTTCATTAAATGTTTTACAGATCTTCATTATCTTGTCTTCTCTATGAAGCACAGGGCAAGAACCTCATCTGCTTTGGTCCCATGTACCCTGAGCCCCTAGCACAGGGCTCGTTATTTTGGGAGTCCACACTGACTGGCAAGTGAATAAATATAAGGAGGCACCCATGATTAAAATGCATTAGATTACTTAGTGTTTTCCAGAATTCAAATCTAGAACTTATCTCCATGAAGCAGCTAATCCAGACATTAACTATAACACAAACTAGTTTAGACTTTTCCCAAAGAATGTGAGGATCAGGATGCTTCAACAAAAGATTAAGGGAGCAACTTAACTATTAATAGTCTAAGCAAATATCTATAAATATTTAAATTAAAAAAAATTTAATTAGTAATTTTTTAAAGATCGCCACCAACAAAAAACTCTTTATCCCCACTTGACTTCTTATAGTATCTTTGGCTTCTTGCCTGAATTTTAGCACTTTTGCAGGCAAACGTTAAAGAATAGAGTAGTTAAATGATTGCAAAGTTTTCCCCATTGACTACATCTCTATAAAAATTATATATATTATTTCTTGTTTTAAATAACTTATTTGAATAGCAACAATTAAATCTCCTCGAGGTGTAAGTAAAAAGAAAAATATTTAAAATTTTTATAATAATCAACATAATAGGTTTTATTACTTTCTCTTTCCTAATTTCTATACTAAGTTGTCCTAGGAGATGTCAACCTGGCTATTTTATGAGTTATTATAGAATACAGCATTTACTAACCCACATTAGTATCAATAGTCCCAACTGGCATCCATATCAACAGAATGTAATTGCTTGAAAAGTTTTTAAAGTGATGCTAAATTCTATCCTTTGAACTTTTAAAAATATTGTTTTCCCTAAACCTGATTATTCTGATGTCACATTTATTCTTATTTGAAATAACAGTGTTCAACAAAATAACAAAGCATGTATTTTATAATGAGAAGTTTGATAGGTGGAGAAGGTGATGTGACAAAAGTCACAATGGACTAATAAAACACAACATTTTTGTTTGCGAATAATTTTTTTTTTTTTGGCCTTGCTTCAACATACTTGACTGATGAATGTCCCGCTCATCCTACTTGACATGCAAACTGACAAACCAATTGCCAAATAGGTCTTTCTCATTTCTGCCAAGAACCTCTTTTCAACAGCATGTGAAATAAAATCTCCATGCTGAAGGCTGAATCAACACCAGGCATAAGATTAAGTCTAGAGTGCTGTAGAAATCACTGCAAAGAGTGCCATCTCCAGAACACGCACCACCAGCCTGGACAAAGCATCAGGGAGCACGCTGAAGGGAACAATGCTACCCTGGCCCCTGGAGAGAGACCAGATGGGACCTAATAGCTCTTTTCTATTACTAATTTCTATGATAATTCTAAGTTGCTACATGGCATATGTATTTTTTTTTTAATCTAAAGACAGAATATCAGTCAATAAAGTGACCAGGACTTTAATGAAATATATTTTTTTCATAAATTTTATCTATTCACACATGATATTTCTCACCCACCTCTCACCCCCAACCTCCAGTGACACATCACTATGGTTAAGCTGGGAGAAGTAGAGAGAACCAGGCCACATGCAGTCTGTTTATAAACATCATCAATACCAATTAAAAAGAAAGAGTTTCTAAGGCGTATTACGAGGTTTATATGCCTTTTCCAGTAATTTTATGAAGTCACCTTAATTTCTTACCTTCCTTTTAAATCCTCACCTGAGATTATTTTTCTATTTATCTTCAGATAGAGTGGGAGGGAGAGAGAAGGAAAGAAAGAGAGAGAGAGGAAATATCGATGTGAGAAGGACACATCAGCTGGTTGCCTCCCACGTGACCCCATCAATGCTGGGGATGAATTGCAGCAGAGGTATATGCCCCCCTTGACCGGAATCGAACCTGCAACTCATCAGTCTGAGGGCCAATGCTCTACTATTGAGCCAAATTGGCCAGGGCAAAGTCACCTTAATTTTTTTTTTCTTATAGTCAGAGATCATGCTTGGATATATATTTTTATACACATATATATTTTAATCCTCACCCGAGGATATATTTTTCCTTTTATTTTCAGATAGAGTGGAAGGGAAGGAGAGAGAGGAAGAGGGAGTGGGAGAAGGATAGGAAGAGAGAGGGGGAGAGGGGGTGGGGGAGAGGAGGAGAGGGGGTGGAGGGAGGGGGTAGAGAGAGAGAGAGAGAGAGAGAGAGAGAGAGAGAGAGAAATACTGACATGAGAGAGACACATGGATTGGCTGCCCCAGACCAAGGCCAGGGACAAAATGCAACAGAGGTACGTGCCCTTGACTGGAATGGAACGTGCGACTCTTCAGTCTGCAGGCTGACGCTCTAACCACTGAACAAAACGGGCCAGGGCTCATGCCTGGATTTTAAAACCACAGCATGCCTATTAATGTTTGATAAAAATTACAAAAGTGGAATTTCTTGTTTTTAGAGAAGATCAAGAATTAGAAAAGGAGATAGTAATGATTTGGGAAAATTACAAAATAATTTCTAGCCATTCTTACTGATGAGTTCAAACGCAACTTGGTTAAGGACACCTTGCCCTGTCCTCCAAACCAGATGCAATTTTTCCGCCTCTGACCTTCTAGAACACTATTTATACTCTCTGGTGGCACTTGCCACAGTCTTTGATTTATTAGAGTCATTTCATTTGCTGTTGGTTTCTGGTAGGCACTGTGAGTGACCCCAAAACAGACTGCAACAAATAGAGAGAGATGCAGGAAGGGACTGAACTTGGGGGAAAATACCCGACATATAGTCACAGCTTCTTACAGCAAACTTATGTGAGTAATTTATTAAATAAACTCTTTCTAAATTTGGTGCAACACAGAATTATTATAGTTAATATAAATTAACAAATGGTCTGAAAATCACACTGTTATTTTCAAAACAAACTGAAAACAATCTCTTCCCTGTTCAACCCAGTTGTTAATACTTACCTCTCATGAAAACTGACAGGATTCTGGATTCTGGGATAGTTAATAAGTTGCATATTTAAAGCAAAAAGATACAAGCTTTGATAGAGTGGGATGAGGCACTTCACGGCCCTGCTGGCGTTGATGCACGTGGCACATATAAGGCTTGGCAGTAGCTTCCCACTCACTATGGCTCCATCAAACAGAGGTCCAAAAAATGGAACCTGTTGATTCAAAACAGAAAAACACAACTTAAAAAAACCAGTAAAAGTCAATCCAAAGATATAAGAACAGCCAACTGATGTCTCAGACCTGTCATGACCATGAAGGCTGTCACCCACAGAACAGATGCTGATCTCAATGAGACACAGGTTGAGGGTTTTCAAATCAAGTGAAAAAGGACTTCTCCATAATGCTCCCCTACTATGAACTCTTTAGCAAAGCTTCTAATGAAAAATTGTTACCAGCCTCTTTTATTTTTTTCATGTTGTCATTTACAGAAATGTCATTATTCTTGATCAGTGCCTACATTATGCAGATTATGCACAATACACAGCCTTCCCTCACTGCATATCTCTAGCTTTGCATCCTTCTGAAGCCAGTTTTAGAGAACTGGAAATATTTCTTCATGGATCCTGATGCATAATAACTCTTAATAGAAATGATGACTATCCCTGTTAACAACTACAAGTTCCTACTTAAAGTCCTCATTCTCTCTTCTTGAATCTTCTTTCCCTCTGCTTCCAACATATTGCATTATCCTCATTTCCTTCTACATTTTTTTTTTTCTTTAACAGAGGCTCAGCTTTCCTTCACTGGATACACTTCTATCATGTGGGCAACTCACAAAGTTTTGGTGTCCGTATTTTTTTTATTTCTTTCTTCTCTCTCTCACTTCTTTTTTCCATCAGAATTTCATCAACTCTACTCCATTCACTAATACAGAGATTGTTAGTTCTATGATGTCAAGGATTGGGTCTGTCTTGTAACTCTTGCATTTATTCACTCTTGTACTTGCTTATTCATTTATTATGTGACAGACACTGTTCACCAGGGAAACAGCAGTGAGTAAAAAAAAATTCCTGATTTCACTGGGCTTATAATTTATTGGAGGTTTCAGAAAATAAACAGACATAAATACATAAAATATATGAAATAAAGGTGCTAAGGTGAAAAATAAAGCAGGGAAGATCAACAGGCCTCTTTTTGAGAGGGGAAGTTCTCCAATTTTAGCTCACACGGCCAGGGAGAGCTTTAAGGATAAGATGGTATTTCAATAAAGACTTGACAGAGTGAAGAAATTAACTTCAAGCTATAAGGTCATCTGATAGAAAAGCCTTCCTGGCAGAGGAACAGCAAATACAATGGCCCTGTAGTGGGAGTAGAATTAGTATGTTTAAGCAATAGCACAGGAACCGCAGTGACTGGAACTGAGTGAGCAAGAAAAAGAATAGAAGAAAATAAAGTTGAACAGGAAATAAGAGGGGCATTGTAGGAAATTTTAAGGATTCTAGATTTCTGCTCTGAATAAGATAAAAGCCTTGGAGACATGATCTAACCTACATTTTAGAGGTATTACCTGACTGCTGTTTTGGGAAAATTATGGACACCAATTAGGACATTACTGAATAATTCAGGCAGTAGATGATGATAGCTTGGATCAGAATGGTAGCAGAAGAAATGGGGAGAGGTGGCTGTTTCTTGATATAGTTTGAAGGTAGAGCTGACAGGATTCTCTGAGGATTATTAATGAAGTGGAAGAGGAAAAAAAAGTAGTCAAGGATGATGCTATGGTTGTATAGCCTGACAATTGGAAGGTTGAAGCCACCTTCTCCTGAAATGGAGAAGACTGAGTATATGTGGGGGGTGACATTAGCTCAATTTTACACATACTAAGTTTGAGATGCCTATTAGATATCCAGTGGTAATGTATGGAGGTGGCAGAATATGTATCAGGCTTGAAATCATGGGAGGGGCTCAGGTCAGAGATTTACAGTTATTCATTTACAGGTGGTGTTTATAGCCACAAGTTTGGATAGTAAGAGGAGCAAGAAAAGAGGTTCAAGGACTGTATCTTGTGGACCTCCAAAGTTTAGAGGTTGGAGACATGAGGAAGAATCTGTAAAGAAGATTAAGAAGGAGTCGCTGGAGATGGAGAAGCAAAACCTCCAATGAGTAGCACCACACCTAGCACATGGTTGGAATGCAAAGACCTGTGGAATGAGTACATTAATTAATATTTTAAATAATTTAGATTAATTAATGAATATGAGTCTCCAACATAGGTCTTTTGACTTGTGTCAAAGACTATTTGCAGAGCACCTTTTCTGTGGTTGGCCTTAGGGAAGTCTTGGGATATAATGGTGAAAGAATGTATTTATTTGCCCATGGGAGCTGACATAAGAAAACTATGGACTACATCCCTCAACAAAGATGAAAAAACCCATTATAAATTGTTAGTAAATTAAATCCAGCAATATATAAAAAGGATATCTTGACCAAGTGGTATTTTCTATTTAAAAAAAAAAAAACACAGCAACAACCAAGGTTGATTTAATATATTCATAAATTCATCAATGCAATTTACTATATTAAACAGAGTAAAGAATATAACTATATGACCTTCTTAAAAGATACAAAATAAGCAAGGATAAAAATTCATAATATAAAAAAAATTACAAGCAAACTGGGAACTTCCTCAATTTGATAAAATTTTAAAGGAAAAAATATTACATTATAATTAATGGTGAAATATTAAATGTTTTCTACCTGACATCTGAAAAGTTTCACTTCTTCTATTCAACATTTGAAGATCCTTGTTATTATTATAAAGAAAAATGAAGAAACTTAAATATTAAAAAGAAATAAAGTAATTTTATCCACAGACAACATGATAGTGCACACAAGAAATCCAAAGGAAGTTAACCAGAACTAATAAGTGAATTTTGAAAGGTCACAGGATATAATATTTCCTCCAACTCTATTCTATTTCTGAATGTTAGCAACTAACAACTGGAAAAATGGCATTTTAAAAAATGCTGTTCGTGATAGCATAAAAATCATTGAATACCTGAAATAAAGTTGACAAAAGTTCTGCAAGACATCTATACTTAAAACTACTAAACACTGCTGAGCTAAATTAAAGACAACTTGAATAAACGGAAAGATGTACAATGTTCATGGATTGGAAGTTTCCATACTGTTAAAATATCAGGTTTTCAGAAACTGAGTTATAGATTCTGCACAAACCAACTCAAAATTCTAGGAAGCTGTTTTTATAGATATGGACAAGGTTATTGTAAATTTGCATAGAAATAAAAATGCATAAATTATCCAATTATAATATTTATATTACTTGATTTCAAGGCATATTATACAACTATAATAATTAACATATCATAATGATGGCACTAGGATAGACAAATATGTCAACAGAACAGCATGTAGAGTCTAAGAACAGAACCACATATATATGGGAATTGATTTACAATAAAGGAAGCACATCAGTTTTACAGGAAAAGTAAAGTCTATTTTAATAAACAATTGGATAGCCATATTGAAAAGTGAACCTTGACCTCTACCTAATACAACACAGAAAAACTGAAATGGATTATAAATCAAAATAAAATAGTAAAGCTAAAACCACAAAGCTTCTAGAAGAAAACATGAGAAAATCTTCACAACGTTGGGTTAGGTAAGGATTTCTTAGGGTACAAAAGGTATCAATTAGCAAAGAAAAACATAAATTGAACTTAATAGTGGCCACATTTTCAGGGGATTAATGACTGGGAGAGGACATAAGGCAGATTTCTGGGGGCTGGCGATAGCCTATGTTTAGATCTGGGTAGTAAACTGTTCACTTTGAAAACATTCATTAAGCTGTATACTTACAATTGGTACTTATTTTTTAAATCGTCACCTCAGGATATTTTCCCATTTAGCTTCAGATAGAGTGGGAGGGAGGGAGGAAGAGAGGGAGGGAGAGAGAGAGGGAGAGAGAGAGAGAGAGAGAGAGAGAGAGAGAGAGAGAGAGAGAGACATTGATGTGAGAGAGACACATCAACTGGTTGCCTCCCACACAACCCTGACTAGGGCTGGCGACTGAAATGCAACCAAGGCACATGCCCCTAACCAGACTTGAAACTGCAACACTTTGGTCCACATGCTGACACTCTAACCACTGAGCAAAACTGGCCAGAATTTTTATTTATTAATGTTATAGTTCAAAGAAAATATTTTTTAGAAAACAAATAAGAATATAGAAGATTTGAACAACACATTTAATAAACTCATCCTAATGGACACACATAAAATATCTCACCAAACAACTGTAGAAGACACATTCTTTTCAACTTGCACAGAATGTATTTATTATTTATTTATTTATTTATTTATTTATTTATTTATTTATTTATTTATTCCTCACCCCAGGATATTTTTCCATTTATTTTCAGAGTGGAAGGGAGGTGTGGGGGAGGGGGGAGAGAGAGAAAGAAATATCGATACAAAAGAGACACACCAACTGGTTGTCTCCTGCCTGACCTTTACCAGGGCTGGAGACCGCAACCAAAGTATGTGTCCTTGACCGGAATCAGACTCACAAATCTTTGGTCCATGGGTCAACACTCTAACTGCTGAGCCAAAATGGCCAGGGTACACATAATATATTAAAAAAACGATCATGCTCTAGGCCAAGGACTCACAAATACAGCCTACAGGGCCTAATTCCAGCCTGGTGCCTTTTCTTGTATGGCCTGCAAGCTAGGAATAATTTCAAAGAGTGAAATTATATAATCTATACTCTGTGCCCAAAGAGTTATTAAGTAAAAAATCCATGACAAAAGAATAACTAGCACAAACCTCTGTTTAGAAATTAAGAAACATATTCCTAGCTCATACTGTGTGGCTCAGTTGGTTGAGCATTGCCCCATATACCAAGAGGTCGCTGGTTCAATTTCTGGTCAGGGAACATGCCCAAGTTGCAGGCTTGATCCCCAGTAGGGGATGTGCAGGAGGCAGCCAATCAAAGTTCCTCTCTCATTCATGTGTCTCTCTCTCTCTCAAATCAATTTTTAAAATATTAAGCAAAAAAAGTTGGTTCTTTGAAAAAGCCTAATACAACTGATTGACAGATCTTTGACAAGATGAATCAAGAAAACACAAATAACTACCACTAAAAATAAAAGAGGAACAAAACTGTAAATGCTTAGAAAATATGTATAGT